ACAATTATATCTTATATTATTTATATATTTATAATATAAGATTGTGTGTGTATTTTGATTAATTATTTATTAAAGGTAAATTATGACGTATTAAATAAATTTTATAAATGTCCTCTTTGTAATAACGAATTACCGTGGTACGGTGAAGGAGTTACAATTACTCTGGATAATTGTAATCATCTTTTCTGCAGGTAGGAATACGTTTAAAAAAGAACAAAAAAAATAATAATAATATAATATCAATAAATAATATTAATCGATTATTTTCTTTAGATATTGCGTATCCAATTTGTTGGAAAATATAATTAATTACAAAACGGTAGAACTTCAATGTCCGTATCCAGAATGCAACGTATTAATTGATCAAGAAAAATATAACATCGAAGAGGTGAGTTAAAATTAAAAAAAAAAATATATATATATATATATGAAGTAATAAATTGTTTCGATAAATTATATTCGTTTCTTTTCTATTCTTTTTGTTTTTACTCGTAAAACTTACACAATTATCTCGTACAAAAACTGTGCTACCAACCAAGCATCACTCTAAATTTTAAAATTATTTTAAATTATTGTAAATTAACAAAAAAAACCATTTTTCAGATAGTCGATCCGATTCTTTATAAAAAATATTTAATAGTATGGACTGAAAGATCGAATAATGGTACCGAAAGCAGAGTATTTCGTTGTAAAACTTTTCAATGCGAAGGTTGGTGTGTCATTGAAGGTTACAATGTAACCGAATTTTTATGTCCAATATGTAAACGAAATAATTATGTCAACGTGGAAGTAAGTATTAATAAAAGAAGAAGAAGAAAAAACAAACAATTTAAGCAAAAGTTATCAAATGATTTTTTTAAATTAAATTGTAATTTTTAAATCTGATTGTAAGAAAAATAAACTTAAAACAAAGAGTATCTCTTGAAAATAATAATAATTAATTTATAACAAATCATTTAGAAAACTTTGAACGCTATATTGTTTAGCGTATTATTTTCTCTGATAAATAAATTAATAATACGATTTTCCATTATTTTTTCCCTTAAGCTTGCGCAAAATGAAAACTACGAAAATAAAGAAGAACAAATTGAAAGATACGAAGAGCTTGTAGCATTGACGGAAAATAAGATGGTGCCAAATTTCGAGCCGTTCGAATGCCCTATTTGTTTGATTTCTTATAAACCGTTGGATGGATTGGTATTAAAAAACTGTTTGCACACATTTTGCAAGTAAGTCATTAATTATAATTTCATATTTTTAATTAATTTTCTCTTTATCTTTAATATGTTTTGTTTTCTTCTACATATGCATGACACACCAATGATCGTATTTAGTTTTAATATTGAACAAATTTGTCTATTTATTCATATATTATTATTTCTTTTTATTTGTTTCTTAGAGAATGTATTTCCAACACGGTGAATTTTTCTGAAGACGTTGACGTTAAATGTCCATATACAGATAACAATTATTCGTGCAACGCAACTATCGAACAATGCGAAATCAAAGAAGTAAAAATATTTTTCAAACTATATTCCAATTGAGAATTAATTTCTATTTAAAATCTTATTAAAATTCAACCTTCTTTATAGGTTTTAAAGCCAATTGATTTTAACAAATATTTGGAAAGATCGATAACTCAAGCTGAAGCTAAAGCTGGACAATCAGCTTTTCATTGCAAAACACCGGACTGTCCTGGTTGGTGCATTTACGAACCGTATATTAACGATTTTACATGTCCTGTTTGTAAAAAAACAAATTGTCTTCGATGTAAGGTAATTTTAATGAATCATCTAACGGTTTTTTTATTTCATCGCGTATTTTGTTCGTTTATTATTTCTGCATAATATTCGTTTCTAATGTTTTGTGTTTTAATTTAATTTTATTATTTTGTTTCTCTTCTCTTCTTTTTTTTTTTTTCTTCTTTTTCTTTTTTTTTTTTATAGATGATACACAAAATAGGCTGTATAGAAGATAAGATTAATTTCTCTACGTCGGATACAGAAAAATCTGATCTATTGATAAATGAAATGATAGAAAGAAAAGAAGTAATGTTATGTCCTAAATGTAAAGCATTGGTTACGAAAATAAGTGGTTGCGATATGATTACTTGTGCTGCATGCAAAACTGAAATATGTTGGGCAACACGAGGATTTCGTTGGGGTCCTAATGTAATTTAATTAACTAAATATATATCTATGATTGTTCGCTAAGTAATTTCGTTTTTTGCTTAACGATAAATTTCTCTTCTCGTCAATCACCATCACATTTATCGATACACACCATAAAAAAAACCTTACTGCTAACCAACAACAACCCCCTTTGCGGATGAGTGTCGGCAAATAGGCCATCCAAGTTTTCTTTTTTTCGTCGTTGCAACCTCACGTATTGTAGAACAGCTCGCCTTTGTCCATCATTATGAGCTTTTAAAATACGCAACGATATAGTAAACTAAAGAGTATCACGTTCGTTTTGAAAGGAAATTAGAGATCTTTAACGGTGAAGTCTTCTTATCTTCCGTTTAATGTAAACTCGCGATGGGGGATGATAATGGCCGAGTAATGGCCGTCACACCCATGCAAGAATATAATACGTAGTCGTACATTAACATAGCAAAAAATATTAATTTTACTTACAAGGAGACCTTATGGTTGTGTCCTCACGAATTTTAACGAGCTTTTGTATATTAGTAGTATACTTTTAGGGTGTTAACGTGGTAAAGTATTTTATCAAAATGCGAAGCTAATTTTGAGAAAAAATGCTTTTAAAGTTTTGATTTTTTTGTATACATGTTTATATTATCTTAAATGTGACTGTTTATCAAGTGATGCGCTAGCGTAAGTAGTAGCGTGCTCGCTTCTCGTTCTGCTAGTTAGTGGTTCGATCCTTCATTAGGGAAGTTTTTGTTAATAATTATTTTCTATTTGTTTTTTTAAATTGTTTTTTCATAATTTTTCTTAATTTTTAAATATATACAGGAGAAAGAGAAAATTATTTATTGCAAAAAAATTAGAGATAGATAGTACCTCTATCGTTTCGGTGTGTTTGTTTCGATTCGTCAAACAAGTAGCAAAAAAATGAAATTACTTTGCGAATACATGTATTATTAAATACAATCTGGGCCAAAAAGTGATCCTAAATAATGTTTGATTAATTCATTGTTATTATTTTTATTTTCTTAAACTTTTTACAAACCTATTTATTGATATAAAAATTTAAAAATATATCGAGAATAGATGAATTAAATTTGTAAATCATTTTTATGTATAACTCTTTTGCTCCCAGATATTGTATAGTTTAATATTTGTTTTATGTTATTTTGTTAAGTGTGTGTTACGTTGAAATATTACGTAAATATTATTTATTAACTTTAGGGCACTGGTGATACTTCTGGAGGGTGTAAATGTTCAAAATATAACAGGTGTCATCCATTGTGTAAGAATTGTCACTAACTGTTCAATAGTATACGAATTATGAAATAAACATATATTTTATAGTGTAAAAATGTTTAACACTTAATAATTACTCTTTTTAGTTATATAATTTATATTTACTAATTATAAAAGATTATATATTTGTTATCGTATAAATTCGGATTTTGTTAAAGTTGTTCTGTTATTTTTAATAATTTTATAATAAATAACAATTTAATATAATATAATTTCAAAACTAATCACTTTCCCAAAAACGTCTAATTATTCTAACTATAAAATTTTAGATCAATAATAATTCTTACCGACCAAACGAAGATAAATTATCGACTGTATTTAATCTGAAAAAAAAACTTGATACAATTTTTAAATACATTTATCTATTATCGAATTAATTTATATAATACAATAACAAATAATTAAAATAAAAATCAATAAAAAAAAGCTCTGCAATGATATATTTTGTAAATCATTATTGTACTGATATTTTCTTTTTATTATTAATATTATTACAAGATACTCGTTGATCAACCATAGCTCTTATTTAAAGCTTTACTTACAAATCTAACACGTATAATAAATTATAAATTTAAATGATTATAAATCTGACCTAACAGATTACTAATTAACTTTCTTGAGAAGGCACATCACTTGTACCAATTTGCCGCAATTGACTAACCAACTTTGATGGATAATGAATGAGTTGTTGGTTTAAATTATTACCACCCGCATTTTGCAATACTTGAACTAAAGATACTTGCGCAGAAATAAGATCCATTTCACCGTAACGTTTAAATTCATTAAGATTCAAAAGCTTTCCCTCTAATATTCCAGCTATAATAATAGATTAGGATTAAAAATGATTTAATAATAATCATTCTTGTACAGAATTAAATAAACTTACCCATTAGAATAACTTGTGGGGTCTTTTTAACAATTTTTTCAAGATCTATTACATTTTTTTCTGGACTGAATACTATATAAAATGGTGCAGAAAATAACATCTCTACAGCTTCATACGTCGTACCTTTTAAAGCCAAGTTTAAAACAGAAGATGGATAACATTTCAAATACATATTTTTTCTTTTCAATAGTACAGCTAAATCAAACACGTCTTCTTGTTTCATTGAATTTTTATGAAGGAAAGCTATCATCTTAGAATTATCGAACCAATTTAAAGCCTCTCGTGCCAAAATTTCGTGGTACGGATTGTGTGTTTCTGTAGAAGTTTTTTTAGCTTTGGTGCATAAATCTATCAACGTTTTGCCTTCCTTATAGTTTGGATAAAACGGCGTGAGAAATGTTTGATGTAACGCTTTGACATAATGCGTTGGTCTAGGTTTTTTTAAATTAATTTTCGCTTTAAAACGCTTTTGCTGTAGGAAAAGTTGATTCGGTAATGAAATCTGAAATGCTGAAACAAAATATATTTAAAAAATCATTAACTAAATTTATATATTCCGATATTATTAAATATTAATTTTTATTAAAGTATTATAGTACTATACCCACCAGTACTATTATTTGGATCCCATTAAATTTGATCTAATACAATAACTTTAACATTTAATAATCTAAGAGCGTGGATTGGTAACAAGAAAATAATTAATGCTCTCAACAAGAGCATTATTTATTTGACTGAAAAATAGATGAACGTAGTTGACATAGAATGTAAAAAGGAGACGAGTATAAAATAATTATTTACAGAATGATTTATTTCATTATTAACGTTATAAGGCACTTTGGGACAAAATCGTACATGTAGATAAAAAAAAAATATATATATATATACGCATATACGAGAATAGGTGGTGTCATATTTGTATGTATGCATGTATTTATGTACGTATGTATGTATATATATAAATGTATTTAACTCGATATGTATGTGTGCAATAAAAATTACTAAATATATATATGTATAACAGTTTTACTTAATAATCTTAATTTAATATTTATTTAATCCTACTTTGTCTTTAGTATTATGCAATATAATTAATTGTTCCACTACAATAATTACTGCTTTCATGACGACCTTCGATATTATCACCAAAATTAAGCGACTTTCTATTTTTTCCAAGTCTTAACATTGAACGAATTCCACCTTTCTTTCTAGAACGTTTGTATCTATCATCTAAAGCTGAATTAAGTGACGCTTGTTTGACATCCCCGCGAGTATTAGAAAATCCTTCGTGTTCATCTTTGAAATGATTAGTACTGGATATATCTCCATGAACATCATCAACAAGCCAATGCTTTCTTGGTGAAGTATACTTATTATTACATCCGGGAATAGTATAAACGTATTCCGATTGAGTCGGATCTACCGACTTTTTATCGTAAGGTTTCATATTACTATCACATGAGGTACTTTCAGTTACCGTTATTTTAATACCGCTTTTATCATAATTATCAGTTTTACATTCTTTTCTAGAACCATCTTCCACATCTCCTGATTGATTGTTTGGTTGTTCTACATTTTTATTTTCTCTACCTTCTCGTAATTTTTTATTTCTTTTGTAAGTATCTGTATTTTTAGCGTCAAGGGCAGCATGCCTCTTCTCCGACATACTTTGTCTACCCAAAGCATCACGTGAAAATTTATTAGACGAAGAATTAAATTCTTCTAAAGATAATTGACTATCGTAAGTTGGATCGCCAGAATACTGACTATCTTTGTCATCCACATTTTTCTTAGTTTCTGCTGGCTGAGAACATTCGTTATTAGACTCCTCTAACAATACAGTCTCTACCCGATCTTCTCTTGGTCCTATAGTTATTTTTTTAACATTGCTCACAGTAACCGGTTCTATCCACGTTTTATTAGTCGCGATACAATAACTCTCGTTTCTTAAACTATTTTTATTATATTGTTCTGTTAATCTATCAATAACCGGGTTCCATGGAGAAGCTGTTACACAAGATAATAATCCTGCATTATCGAGTGTTTCCGATTGTGAATTTAAATTGTTTTTTTCTTTAACTCTACCGTCATTGACTTTAGTGGAATCCGAAATGTATATGGAATTAGGAGATTCTATTTTACAATGAGAAGACATATTATCGATGATATTTTTATCGTTAGTATCGTACGACGACAAACGCCTAGCAATTGTAAGAGTAATAACACCGGTGACTGAACTATTTGTATTAAGCATTGCTCTTCTTAATGTTTCCATTGCATCAGAATTTGACAATCCTAAAAGTGATACGCCGTTAACGTTAAGTAATTGATCATTGGTACGTAAACGACCATCTCTAGAAGCTGCACCGCCGTGAAGTACACTTTTGATAAAAATTCCTAAATCCATATTAGTATTATCGTCTGTACTACTTGTTTTACCTTTAACACTGACACCCAAGCCAGCTTTTTCCGAATCGTGTACTGGAATGTCTAATGTTAATATCATACGATTTTTACGAGGAGATAATACGATATCCTCTGAAGGTTTGACAGCTTTGAACGTACACTTTTCATAATCGTGTACATTTAATTTCTCTTGAAAATCATTATTCTTATTCGTCGGAGATCTATCCAATGCGTTCCAATATTTGGAACCCTCTAATACTTCTAACGGTTGATTAACAGGAGATGTTTGACAATGTGAATCCAAGGAACTCGAGGAGACTTCTTCTTGACGTGAAACCACCAATCGAACTTTACCACCAGCTGGAATACTTCTCAGCAAGGAAACAACTTCAGCTTGACTTTTACCAGTCATTTCCTTTTTGTTAACTTCAAGCAATCTATCACCAGGCCTTAATCTACCATCCTCGACGGCAGCACCCATAGACAAAATATTTTTAATATAAATTGGACAATGCCCTCCTGCAGGATTATCTCGTGTTGTAACACTAAAGCCCAATCCATTATTTCCTTTAGTTAATTCTATTTCTATCATACGACCAATCTTCCTGGTATTCGCTGTTTGTAATATATTGTAATTGCTGCATTGCAATCTCTTGACATTCTCTTCATTCTCAGATTTGTCCGCGCTTTCATTAGCATTAGAATGATTTTTCCTAATAGATTTATCATTGTGAGATTTTTTATGCTTAACAACAGATATCTTTAAACATTTTTCAGTCATACAAGTTCTAAAGATATCTTGAACTTTGGAAAATGGTATGTGTAACAGATTATGCCTATTTATTTTAATTATCTTATCATGTAGATCTATCTGACCATCACGAGCTATACGTCCATTAGGTTCAATACCTTCCACTCTGAGACCTTGATCATTACCCAAAAGATCATAACATGGAACGACATGTAATCCTAACGGGCCAGCCTCATTCTTAATCACAATTTCACGAATCTCTCCTTGATCCAACGGATCAATATTGGCACTTGCAAAATCGTAACAAGCTTTGGCATCTTGTCCTAAAGGTTCTCTGCGTCGAGATTCTCGAGGTAAAGATTGAGCGGAGTACGTAGTTAAAGTAGGTTCTCTGTTAGAAAGTGCATGCATAGACAATCGTTTGGCTCCTTCTCTTTTGATACTACTGTTCGATATGGATATATGAGTGTCAATCATATAACCTTGATCTTTCCCATCAGAATGAAAAAAGTCTGGACTGTTGGTACCGACCGAGCTTGCTCCATCACCACCAGCATGTAGGACATCATTGCTTGTAAAATGTGCAACAATTTGTTCTCTATCATCAGCAACATCGCATAACCTATCATCAGGATCAAGTAATCCACCACCAGTCAATGTCGACAAACTATTAATGGTTATACCAGTGTCATTTTTTCCAGTTGCCTTTTTATATCTTAATATGGCTTCATGCATCAAGTCTTTGACAAGCAGTGTCCCATTTCCACATGGGACTACCACTCTAACGTTTTCAAAACACACAGTTACCTTCATCGCGTTAATTTCATTATTTAAGAAAATGATAATCTTACTTTTGGCATAAGCTTTTTTAATATCATATCACCTTGTACTAACTTTTAATTATGAATAATTAATCGGATAAAATACTCGTGTATTTAGGAAAAAATTTCAATTAAAATGCAACGTCGGTGCTATTATCATGATGCAAAATGCACAATGCATTTGTTTAAGATTAAAATCCTCATAATGCACTTGTAGTCGCTCCGTTTACCACCATATCTTCCGAGTGAATCATCGACGTAGCAATCACTATGTTTAAGAATACACTTGACAAACGTATAATCCTTATCTTCGATAAGATAACCGTATTTTTTTTTACATATATTTCTAAGGAAAATAAAAGTAACCTGGATAATGTAAATAAAGTGAACAAATATTTATCTATTAGTTCGATCATCAAACGGACGCTTATGGTCTGTAATACTTCGATCCTATCAAATACACCGAACAGACGCACTCGCCATTACGACATTTTGTTCCGATGTTCCGTACACGCGGAACGATAGGAATCCGAGACGAGACGTAAATCTCTCTCAACAGGTTAGCCAATATACAAAATATTCATTTATAGAATGTGCCGCTAACGCTGCTATCGTCGATATTATATTATTAATTAATCGATAATTCTAACGAATTTAATGATAATTATAAATTACCTTTATTCAAAAGTCGTGCCATTTTTCAATAACAACGAATTACTTCAAAGATTTTAATTTAGATCGAAGATACACGTGTGTGTACGCTTATTTTATCCTCTTCTTAACACTCCATCCTTATTTATTTCCTAACTACACAGGAATGGTCCAAATCCATTGATTCTCTCGACCAACATACGACCCAATTTTAGGGCTCCTTTACAATCGAAGCTTAATTTCCCTAGCAGGTAATAAACTTCTTTTCTTGTCGAGTTCGATCTATCGATTATCGTAACTTAAATCTTTTATTTTAAATTAGTCTTAATAAAATATATATTAATATAAAAATACTGTATAATATCTAATAATAATATTAATTAAATCGAGATACCAACTTAAAATATCACTAGTAACTTAACAAATGTAGTCAAAAATTAAATAAAAATCACGTAGTCCTTGCTACCTTCAATATGCATAAATATTTCTATGTGTGTGTGCGTGTATAAGAAAAAAGGACATATTTAAAGCTCATTTGTATCTTGAAATATTAACCTTAGGAGAAAATTTCTAGTATCTTACAGTAACCAAATTTTTTTCCCCTACGTTCTCGCCTTTAAAACTAAAATCTTCTCTGTCAGGCATATATAAAATATATATTAAAAAAATAAAATAAAATTAATCGAATTGGATATATTCTCTTTGCACAATGAAGTGGTTCGAAGAAAGTATACATCTTGCTGTACATAAATCCAAAACAACCAAAGCAATTTTCGTTGTTTTCGTCGAAGGTGAATATGTTAGTTCTTCTTTATAGGTTATGTTAACAAAAATTAAAATAAATTTCATAGTCATCAAGATTATTTATATATATATATATATATATATATAATTACTTCTATCATTTTTATTTATATAATTATTTTTCTAGGAAAAGATGATGCTTCGGCTCAGTTTATGCAAGCATTGAATGTTGCTGAAGTTTCTAAATATTTTGAAAATGAAGATTTTGTAGCTGTTAAATTGGAAAGTGGTAGCGAACAATACAGATTTTTCGCACAGATTTGTATCCTTTGACTCATTGTTAATCTAACTTTTGATTTTCGTTATCTTTATTACTCTCTCTTTTTTTAAAGGTTTTACAGACCTTGACAATACTTTTTCACAGCCTTTACACACCTCTTTGAAATCAATAGTACACTGTGTTCTAAAGTGGTCACCCATTCATGTACTAACCGTCTGCATTGTAGCTTAATTTCGAATGGAAACTAATATTTTCAATGAGATTGTTTACTTTTTACTCTGTAATCATATCGATCTTTAATATTTTTCCTTAAACATTGTAACTACAGATCACCTTGTTCCAGTACCATCTTTATTCTTTATTGGTGTCAATGGTATACCGCTTGAAATAATAGTCGGTAATACAACTGCAACTGAGCTTACATCCAAAATCGAATCTGTTTTAATTAAATCTGGAAAGAAATGTCAAGATAGTTCGTTTAATTTAATTGAATCCGAAAAGAAATCTTCAGAATTGACTAACACGCCAGATGCTTCTACTAGCGAAGTAACTACTGATACAGAAAAAGTTACAGAAAAGGAAGATGTACCAGAAAAATCGACAGAAACTGTTACGAAGACAGAGGTTGAAAATAAACCAGAAGAAAGTACATCTACGGATGTAAAGGAAACTGATATGAAGGAAACTGATGTAAAGGAAGCAGATTTAAAAGAAACGGATGTAAAAGATACTGATGTAAAAGAAACAGATGTAAAAGAAACAGATGTAAAAGAAATAGATGCACCAACTACAAGTAACGAAACTAAGGAAGACAGTGATACGGATTTAACGATGCAGGTATGTATTTTAATTTTACTATTATTTCTTATTTAAATAAAAGAAAAATAATAAATTATTAATTGAACGATTCTAGGAAAAGTTAGATAGAGCTAGACAATTGATAGAAGCACAGAAAAAGCAGCGACAAGAAGAGGAAGAAAAGAAACATAAGGAAAAAGAATTGGAACGTCGTAAGTTGGGACGGGAAATGCAAAAGATGAAACAAATGCAACAAGATTGGCAAGTGAAGAAAGCTCAAGAAGAAAGGAGGAAGGAAAAAGCGGCTGAAAACGCTGCCAGGGAAAAAGTAAGATTACAAATTGCTCAAGATAAACTTGAACGGAAACAAAAGGAATTGGCTTTGCAAGTGCGTATGTGTATATAAACGTATATTATCAAACATATATAATTATAATTATTATCCTTTATGTAATCGTTATTAAAAAAAAAAAATATTTATTTTTTACTATGTTAGCCTAAACAATCATCACCGCCACCCTCAGAACAACCAAAAACACGACCAGCTTGGTTAACTGATGCTACTATAACTAGAATTCAATTTAGATTGCCATCCGGTAATCCCCACATGGCACCGTTTTCACCATCAGATACTTTAAGCATTTTACGCACTTACGTTACCGAAAATATTGATTTACCTTTCCGTCAATTCGTCATGTCAACTTCATTTCCTAGAAGAAATTTAACCGACGAGGACGACAAAAAAACTCTCTTGGAATTAGAATTGGTTCCACGAGCGGTGATTTTAATCCTACCGTTAAAAAATGTAAATATAATAGAAGTAAAAAATATCGTAGAATTAAAAATGTAATTTTTACAATAATATCTTTCGTTTTTCTTTTCAGAATAATACAAAAGCAAATACAACATCTGTAACATCCGCTCAAGACGTTGGTTTTTTCTCGCGTTTCATGTGGTCTCTATTTGCTCCTGTAATTGGCATATACAATTATCTGATGGGATATTTTAACAAGACATTAAATGGCAATACAGATCCAAATAACGAAGACTCTGCTAATTCCTCAAATGGTCCCAACACCGGTGAGGAATCAACTTTTCCAAATTTACAAAATATAACTCGATCAACAGGGTAGGTTTCAAATTTTCTTTGCAAAATTTTTTTTAGAAATTTATCTAGATCAATAACTTATCTTATTGTTATTGTCCTTTTTTTCTTCTTTTTTTTTTTTTTCTTTTTTT